GCTCACGCGGACCGCAACGCCTTCCTCACCGACGTCAGCGCGCCATGAGCGCTTCCGGAAGAGGCGGAGTGGAAGCACACAGAGAGGAAGGATTTCGAAGTTGTCGATGTTTTACAAAGTAACAGGCAGTTAACATGTATTTATGGGACATGAAGAAGAAGAATGTATTCATGGGCTTAAACCACATTGGACATGATAGAATTGCTTAATGTAATTTTCTGTTTCAGCATAAAACCATTGCAAAGGCTAACAAAGATGCAATTATTAAAGCTAGTCCAGTATTCAAGCTGTTTATGCTGTGGATGCAATGCAAGCTGAAGCGTTAAGCATTTTCTAATTAATAAACAGTTATTAATCTCGTGCTTTTATATTCTGGATATAGTTTTGTACGTAATAGGCACACTCAATTAGATACATATTTCAATTTTTCTCTAATTGTTTTTGTGATTAACCTCGTTAAGTATTAACGAACTTCGTTCATATTCCGGGTTCATCTGCATCAGCTTGCCAGTACATAATATGCATAATCAATAATATATACTGAATTTGGTTCTCCAGTATCACTGTCTGAAATTCTGAATGCATGAATCCACGTTTATGATGGTCCCACGTCGTAGGTAAAACCACAATTGCCACTATGAATATTTTTTATAATTAAAAAGAATAAATACAGATTTTTGAGATTTTGCGTACGACAAGGCAAAGGACGATTTATTTTAGGCAATTAGTTGTTTCGAACCTTTCGTTTTAGTGAATTAGTTTTAAAAATCAGTTTAAAGTCAATTCAGTTACAATCTTTGCTGAAAACTATGTTTTATTTATAACATTTCTGCTACTAAAGTAACGTCCTTCAGTAACATCCTTTATATGAATCGGACATGTTCAAAAGAGACGACTCTCGCTGAGTCTCGCTGGCTTTACTAATCCAGTTCATTTCATTAATGAATCATTCAGTCAGATTCGTGAGCAAATCCAGAAACAGTAAAGCACATTCTTCTAGAATGTGATGCGTATAAAAGAGAAAGAACCCCCTAACACCTTATGCACTAACAAAGCGCGAGCCCGCCGACAACTTTACAAAAAACCTCCCAGTTCCCATCCATCCAGAGACTTGTAAACACAACCGCATCGCCCCGAACCCTCCGCGACGTCCCAAAACTATCACTCAAGATATTACTAGGGAATAGACAAATGCAATCAAGAATTAAAGAAGAAGTGTTCAATTACCTAAAAAAGACAGGAAATATGGAAAGAATATAAATTGAAATAGCGTTTATATATATATATATATATATATATCCTTCTCTCTACCAAATCTGTTCACTCCACACTCCAGATCAGTAGGTGGCGGTAATGCACCTTTAAGTTGGTTTGCTAAAACCGCCAAAAAAACACCAGAAGAAGAATAAAGAAAATGGTGGGAAAAGGAAAGGTCTAAACAGAAGTGTTTTGCATGGAATAGTGACAAAGAAGCTAGAGAAATTATTTTAAGTCATAAAAGATACATTCCTGCAGTACCGTTATCAATAACGCCACCTTGGATGTTTCCTGCAGTACTCATAGATTTTTATATACTGGAGTTAATGAAAGAACCTGAAAACATTGTAGCTGTTGTTGAAGATAGACTACAAACTGTATATCAAGTATTTGCTCCAGTATATACTGATGGATCTAAAGATCCTAATACAGGGAGAACAGGTTTTGCATTCAGTATTCCATCCTTAAACATTGTTGTTAATAGGAGAACATATTATCAGTATACACAGTAGAGATGATGGCAATAGCAACAGCACTACAGTGGATAGGGGAGACTCAAATCAAAAAGGTTATACTTTGTACAGATTCATGTTTGGAATTAAAGTCATTGCAATCATTCACATCTCATAGTAGACAGGATATAGTAAATGAGATATATGAAAATCTGTATAGATTTAAGAATATGAACATCATGATAATATTTATGTGGATACCAGCTCATAGGGGGATAAAGGGTAATGAAAAGGTTGATAGATTAGCAAAACGGGCATTGGAAAACGAGGATATCATGAATATCTCACTTAGTAAATATGAAGCAAAAGCAGTAATTAAAGCATATACCACTAAGGAGTGGCAACATAAATGGGATACAGGAAATACAGGACGTCAACTTTATGAAATACAGCGAGAAGTAGGAGTCGTGAGAATAACTAAAAGAAGCACCAAAGAGGAAAATATTCTAACAAGATTAAGGGTTGGGCATACTATGCTGAATAAAACCTTAAAAATAATAAATAAACATCCAACAGGATTATGTGAGCACTGTGGAATGGAGGAATCAGTAGAACATGTTATTTGTGTTTGTCAAAAGTATACTAATGAACGAGAAACAATGAAGAATGAACTTAGAAAGATGAGAGTGGATAACCTAAAGCTTAAAAATATATTTACTTATGGACTAGAAAGTTTATTTTTGTATCTTAAGAGAATAGAGCTGATTAAGAGAATTTAGAGGGGAAAATCTTATTGAGGTAAAGAATGTTTTATTAATTTTGTATTTTGTCCTTTCTTTTTATTTTTGTTGTCCTCTTATTATGAAAGGGTAAACTCTGGTTCACACTCCACTACAGTAGGTGGTGATAATGCACCTTAACATTGGTGCTACCCGCCATAAAACCGAAGAAGAAGAAGATTCGTGAGCAAGTTGTTTAGATCGGGTTTGTGAACAATGTGAAAAGATCCGATCAAAAAGAAAGATTCGTTCACGAATAGGACATCGCTAATATGCAGAGCCCCCCTGTGTCAGAGCCGATGCAAGCGGTTTATTGAACACAGCGAGAGGCTCCGTTTGAACTTTTCGGCTCAGTCGAGATTATTTTCCATCTGGTTACCGACGTTAAAAGTAAAAACATGCTGTTTTCGACGAGAGGTGACAATTCCAACTAAGAAAAGGGTAACATTTGATTTAGAATTACATTTTGATTCAAGTAATAGTTAAAAAGGTGGTTACTCGTTTGTTGTGATCAGCTAGCATTCTGACGTTAGCATGCATATGTCGTAACAAGGAAGTAAACATAAGTGTAGCCTACAGGTTACGATGCACGACAAAACTAACATGTTTATGAAGCATTTGAGGTTACGATGTAACGTTATGTTAAAATGCATGAACTTGGTTTATTCAGTGTTTCAGTTTGTGTAAGTTATAAAAATGCTCAACAACATTAAGGCAACCACTTTCTTTTAACGCTATAGTTTTGTTTAGTACCATCAGTGATAATCCTTCTGAAATCCTTTTTCTGTCTTTATTAGAAATGACTTGGTTCCAGCAGGCTTTACAAGGCTCGGGCCAGCCAGATGGATCCATGATGCCCCCTACAGTGGAAGATCTGTCCCATACACAGGTCTCCAAGCACACCATTACACAGTTAGGGATGTCTGATGGACAAGGCTGGTCAACACTTCTTCCAGTTTCCATCACAGACTTTCCACCTGCTTCAGGAGGCATCGTTCCCCAACGTCTGGAAGCACTGTCCTGCACATCCCTCAACATGGGCTCCATAGAAGACTCTGTGCCGCTGTCCTTCGTGACGCTTCAGGAGCAACGATGTGTACTAAGTTGGTTTTTAGGATGGAACGCTGTCCAGAAGCAACGCTTTCTGGAAGATCTGATTTCAAAGGCTGTGCCTGGAAAGGTGTCCAGTTTATTAGACCAACTCAACACACTGCAGGTGTTTTATGTGATTAATTTTCTTTGTTGTGTGATCCTTGTATGTAAAGGAATAGTAAACCGAAAAATGAAAATTTGCTTACAATTTACTCAACCTCACACCATCCAGATGTAGATAAGTTTGTTCCTTCATCAGAACAGACTTGGAAAAATTTAGCATTAAATCACTTGATCACCAATGAATCCTCTTCAGTGAATGCGAGTTCAGACAACTGATAAAAATATCAGAATAATCCACAACCTAGTAATTCACACAACTCTAGTCCATCAGTTAACATCTTGTGAATTGAAAAGCTGCATATTTATAAGAAACAAATTCATTATTACGGCGTTTTAACTTTAAACCATCACTTTCAGACAACATACTAGTCCATAATCCATAACAACACATCCAGTGTAAAATTCCATCCCCTGTTGTCCTCTCACATTAAAATACACAAACATATTTGTTTAGAGCTGTTTGGACTATTTTCACTTGTTTTGTTGTGCACTTGATTTGTGCATATTTCTCTCCTGATTCAGATGAGACAACTTTTCATTTGAGAAAGCAGTATTACGGATAGAGGACTCATATTTTAGCTGTAAGCAACAGGTTGAAGTTAAAAACATCTTAATAGTGAATTTATTACAAACATGCTTTTAACATCACAAGATGCTAATTGATGGACTTAAATCATGTTGATACTTGTGGATAATTGTGATCAGCTTTTATCAGCTGTTTATGTATGTTTGTAACTATCTATCTGACATAATCAATTAATGCTAAGCAGGCTGATCTGTATGATAATGTTGGTACCTTCTTTGTCTCTGCGTTTCAGGTGAATGATCGCCCACCCAACATTTTTGAATGCCAGTTAAGACTGTGGACTCAGTGGTTTGATTCATGGAGTGAAGAGGAGAGAAATGCCTTTTTGAACAGCTTAGAGGAGAAGGATCCAGCCTTTGTTGCGTACTTCTATAGCCGGGTTTCTGGAACAGCAGGCAAAGATTGAGGCTCTTCATACAATGCTTTTTGTTTTTTCACTCTTCAAAATGAAACCGAACTCAAGTCACCTATGGACTATTCTGCTGTTAAAGGGTTGTGAAAAGCTATGCTTGGTGCGCATATGAGTGTAGTTTTCCCTCAAAATGTCTTGTTTAGATACATAAAAAAATCTTATTTTTTCCCCCTAAAGGTTTTTCTAAAATATTTTTTTTTTTTTCACTATTTATGTTTTCTGTACATGGATTTGCTGTTACAAGCTTCACAGAAATTCTCTCTTGATTTTAAAGGGATAGTTCACCCAAAAATAAAAATGTTGTCATTGTTTACTGACCCTCATGTCATTCCAGTCCTGTATGCGTTTGTTTCTTCTGCATAAAAGAAGATATTTCGAAGAATGTTGACAAGCAAACAGTTCTGGCTACCATTGACTTGTCCATACCACTGTATGAACAAAAAACACTGAGACATTTTGCAAAGTATCTCCTTTAATGTTCCAAGTAAGAAAGTAGGTCAATATGAGGGTGAGTAAATGCTGACAGATTTTGCATTTCTGCATGAATCATCCATTTAAATGTTAAAAAAGACACCAACATATTAGATACATTTTTATGTTTCTGAAATATAGATGATTTATTAAAATGAAAGATGCCATTCAAGCATGCAGTTGAGAGTAGCAATAAGCCAAGATATCAAAGCAGAAAGCATTTTCTTTGGATACAAAAACAGACATCGAGTACATGGACTAATACATGGAGATCACTGCTTGAGCCAGTCTGTGGATTGAGTTTTCTTTAAGATCAAGGGAGGCTCATTTAAATTAGTATCACTGCAGGTTTCAACAAATGGATGGATTTCCCCCTGCAGCTCATTGCCAGTGAAGCTAAAGATTTCAAGCTTTTTTTCTGCATTATAAAAAGTTACCTTATTATTTTTAAAATCCAACTGGACCCCAATTACAGACGGTTCCTCAGCTTGTAGATGGACAAGCCTGTCAGCATTGGCAAAAAGTTTTGAACCTCTATTCTTCTGAATAACCCAATAGCCAGCTGAAGGGCCATATCTCAAAATACCTTTTCTCTGAGCGGATGCCCTGGCTGCACCCACAACATAACAATTTCTTCCAATCACCCCTATTTCCCAGTAATGCTTTCCAGAATCAAATCCGTTTTTTCCCAGAACTGCAATAGCTGTGTCGTAGCGCTCAAGACTGTCAGGTACAGGCTGAGGGAATAAAGAGGTACGTGCTTCTTTCTCATCCTGTGACAAGATGAGTCTGCGGTGGGCAGTGTTTGCATCAAACCTCGGCCATTCTGAGGTGGGCACACAGACATTTTTTTTAGTTTGATTGCATTTAGCTGTATATTATAACCAGACTGAGATCACAAACTTACCACTCTTAGGAGGTTCTTTTTTTTCACTTATAATTTCTGGATAAAGAGTTATAAAATAAATAAAACCATACATTGTTAATTGTGAAAATAAAGCTAGTAATACTTCTGGCTTGGATAAAAGAAATATCTCACCCTTAAGTTCCTCTACTTTCTTTTTAGTCTCATCCAGGTTTTGTCTAAGTTTCTCGTTCTCATTGATCACACCTATAAATATTGTGAAAATATTAAAACCTGTCAGATTACCTGTCACAGATACATGCAAAAGATATTTGGTCCCAGGCCAAATTTAATTTGCATTGTTCACTATACTGAAAGATTATTGCACCCCACTCACCGTTTATTTTTTTTCTCTCTTCTTTAAGCTCGGCCTTTGTATCTGCATTTTCCTTTTGCAGTGTAGCAACTTCTTTGTCCTTCTCCTGGAGTTTCTGGTCCTTCTTAGCAAGTTCTTGTTTTTTTGCTTCCAATGTCTTTTCTAGATCTGATAAAAGGGATGAAAAAACTTATTATTAGGCTTAGAAAATGTTCAAATGAACAATTTGAGTTTTGAATACAATATAATAGATCACATTATAAAATATAAAGCTGCAGAGCACATTTACATCTGCTGATTGAGCAATGTAAAAGCATGTAAAAAATACTGGACACGTAAACTTTATCATGTTTTTGCTTCTGTGGTATTTTGACTGTATTGTCATACCAGAGATTTCTTCCTGTAATTCATTTTTCTCCCCTGTAATTTTTTGTAGTTCCTTTTCAAGTTTCTTCTGCTTGTGAACTAAAACAAAGGGCAAGAAATAATCAAATTACTGTATGCATATGCGATTATATAATATGTAAAAAAAAGAAAAGAAAAGAATGCTTGGGCTAATTCATTTTTACACAATTTATATTGGATTTTCAATCAGCAATTCAGTCTTTCATTATTCAGTGATTTTATTCTTACCCAAGTCTTGATTTTCAGCATTTATTTCCTTTAGTTTGGCTTCAGTTTTAGCAAGTTGCTGGTCCTTTGCTTTAAGCTCTGTCTCTAGCTCTGGACGAAAAAAGTTTGAGTAACATGCATCAATTGTGTAATTTGTAGCATCATTACATTTTATCTGTAGCAAATCTGATTGACAATACTCTGAATTTTCCCATTTTTGAACCAAATACTCCTCTGTTTTTAAGCAGAGGATGACCTTTTCACTGACCTTTGTTTTTGTTCTTTACTTTTTCAAGCTCGCCCTTCATATTGTCCTGTTGCTTTTTCAATGCAGAAATGACTTCATTTTTCTCCCTCAGGTACCAATCCTTTTCAGTAAGTGCTCTTTCCTGTTTTTGCAATTTCTCTTTTAAACCTGATCACAAAAATGCAGTTAGTAAAAAAAGAAAGAAAGAAATGGTCAAATTGATTCTACCTTGGTATAATGGGTCAAATTTGAGGTTAAAGATAGAAGTATGTCAGCATGGCACTTTTCGCAGTTTGTTTCTCACATGCTGATCATTGCTTTTCCCAACCCATCTAATCACTCCAGCAATCTTAAAAAAATTGTATAGTACTGGAAAAGTGAACTTGATAATTATTCAAGCACACGTCTTTGGTGTTTTGACAATGTGGTCATACCGTCAATTTCTTCTTTTGCATTCTGCAGTGCCTTATTTTTCTCCTCTTTGAGTTTCTTCAAGTCATCATTCAGATTGTTCAGCTGTTTGACTGAAACAAAAGACAGAAAACTGAAATTCTTGGAATGCCTAACCATGCAAAAGTGACAATATGGAATCAAACATAAATGTGGGGTTGATTAATTCTGCAATGTTGTTGTCTTTATTCATAACTAGCTTTTCTTACTCAAAGCAGCATTTTCAGCATTTGTCTTTTGCAGCTGATCTTCAGTGTTAGCAAGCTGCTGGTCCTTTGATTTCAGTTGTTTCTGTAGTGCTGAGGGAAAAATGACATGATAATATTTGATAACAGAAAGCTATGTACATGTTTAAAATGCATCATTATAAAGAAATAAAAGTTAAATCAGCACTATGTAACTTTTGGCGCTCTAGCGGTTAATAAACAGAACTGCACACATCCCGCGGAAGAACATTCCAACCGGAGCTACTTCTCTAAGTTTATGTCTATGGCGATTCACGCAGGTATGTGTTATTCCGCAGCGGTGACGACCCGACCAGGCTACAATAGTCCAATTATAAGTACTTATTATAAGTGTACCGTAGTGATTCGGAATAAGACAAAAACGCGGTTTGGAAGATGAATTCATGATGTACTCGCTCATTATATAGATTTTGCAAATTTTTAACACAGAAAAAGTTACATAGTGCTGCGTCAATTGTGATGGTATCACAACAGTATGCATTTTCGCTGAAACTTACATGCAATCTTATCGTTTGATTCTTGTTGCAGTTTTTTAACATTTTGTTTGCTTTCCTCTAGCTCCTTTTCTAGGTTTTGTATCCTGTCCTCTGTTCATGAAAAAAGAAGGAGCATGTCTTAGTAACAACACATTGAGTTAAAATGCAGAGTAGGCCTACATATCTGGTAGGAAATATGCACATTTGGTGAAATTATTGGTGAAATTAATATTTTCTCGAGCTGTTCCAAACCTGTATGCATTTCTTTCTTCTGCTGAATACAAAAGAAAATATTTTGAAGAATGTGGGTAACTAAACAGTTTTTGCTCCCCATACTATGGAAGTCAGTGGAGACCAGCAAATGTTTGGTTACCCACATTCTTAAAAATTCCTACCTTTATGTTCAACAAAAGAAAGAAACTCATAGGTTTGGAACACCTTGAGGGTGAGTAAATAATGACAAAATCGAACTATCCCTGTAAAGGATGGGTAAAATCACTTCCAAAAAATATTCTTTAGTGCCTTTTTTCACTTTTACTTACTCAGCTTATCTGACAGTTCACAGTTAGCCTGCAACAGCAAAATCTCTTTTTCTTTGTTCTCTATTTGATTCTTTAATCCTGACAACAACAAGAATATCTGTTTAGTAGTCTTTGTTTCCACTATTACTCAAACGAATAATCACCAATCTTCTGATATTGATGCATTGAAGATTAACTTACCATTGATTTCCTTTGCATATTTCTCTTGTATTTGTGCTTGTGCTTGTTTTAGTTTAGACATTGATTCCTTTATAGACATTATTTTCAAGGCTGTATAAATATATAAGTAAAACATTTATGTGAACACATTTGGCAGACAATTTAACAATGGTATACATTTCATCAGTTCATGTGTTCCCTGAGAATCAAACCCATGACCTTGGCGTTGCTAGCACCATGCATGCTCTACTAGTTGAACTCACCCAGTCCAAGCCCTTTCTCTCCAGAGTTTTGCAACTCAGCCAGCAAACCATTTAATTGAGCTTCCAGTTCTAAATGAAGAGAAGAACATCACTAATTGTAAGACAATGGATTAAATGTTTTTTTAAAGGAAGAAATTAAAAATTAGAGTACATAAATGGATTTGTTTAAACTTACTGCGGATCTTTTCTGAATTGTCTTCAGTTGGATTTTCTTGAAGCTTCCCTATATTAGTTAACAACTCAAGTACATCCAGAGCTGTAACAAAGCATTGTGTAAGTGTGCAATAGTCTCTCTTCAGATGAAGACATCCCAAAATTGGTCAATTGGGGTTGGACTCACTTTTGGCTGATATGGATCCCTCAGCATGCAATTTCTGCTTTGCCTCCTTCAATTCTCTTTTCTTTTCTTCAAGTTCTAGCTTCAGTTCTAAGAAGCAGATAACCATATATTGAAAAGCACATCAAACTATTGAAAGTTTTACCCATTCCACATGTGATGTAAAATGAATGAATGTACACTACCATTCAAATGTTTGGGGTCAGTAAGTTTTTTTCTTTGCTACATTTTTACATTTATTCAGCAAGGATGCATGAAATTGGTCAAAAGTGACAGTCGAGAGTTTTAGTGTAAATAAATAAAGTTCAAAAAAACGTTTTGTTCATCAAATGTCTTGTGGTTCCCACAAAAAATATTAAGCAGCACAACTGTTTTGAGCATTGATAATAATAATAATGACAATGATAATGGTTTCTTGAGCACCAAATTGGCATATTAGAATGATTTCTGAAGGATCATGTTACACAGGCGAATGAAAATTCAGCTTTGCCAGCACAAAAATAAATGTCATTGTCAAAATATATTTAAATAGAAGTCAGTTATCTTAAATTGTAATAATATCTCACAATAAGTGTTTTTTATTGTATTTTTGGTGAGCATAAGAGACTTCTTTTTAAAAACATGAATGTATTTGCACTGGTTGAATCTGCTTTTAATGTATATGTCTAAAAATACTGCAGTTTATGCGATATCAGAATCAATGGACACACACCTTCATTACCTGGGAATCCTTGTGCGGTTTGCTCATCCAGGTACTGAACTTCATCCATTAGACTTTTAATGATATAAGCTGAAAACAACAACAACATTGGACAGAGAGAATGATGTGACAGTATAAAAGAGTGTAAGATATCGACTTTGGGTTTAACACGATGATGTTTTTTTTGTTTTTGTTTTATTGTGTTTTCATGGCATTATTTATAATATTTTGTGATTAACTTTGTCATCAATTTAATTATAAACCAGTTTAAATTATGAATCTTCACTCACCCTTCTTAAGAATGTCATTGTTCAGCTTAGAAATGGTATTGTTATATTCAGCCTGCATTTCTGTAACACAGCCACCAAGTATCCTGTTTACACAACTGTCCAAATCCAGTTTACAAAAGATAGAAAGATAAGGTACCGTTATATTTTTTCTGGAGTTCAGGGCATTCAGCAGTGTCCACACAATCTTTTCTCAGCTCTAGAGAGAGAGACAGAATAGGCAAGATAAGGAAATCTTCTTTAGACGATGATTTAAATGTCCTATATTACTGAAGACTGCAGTAATATGTTGTTTTACTTTCATTCTCAGCACGAATTTTGGCATTTTCCTCCTCCTTCATCGTTAGGCTCCTTTTAAGACCTAAAAAGAACAGCAGCAAATTGTGTTCTTGAATGAATGGAGAGCTCCAATGTTGATGTGCTTTGCTGTTAAACGATTGCAAGAGATTGTAACTGATGGATGGATGGATTGAATGAAACTCACCAGCTATTCTAGCATTTACTTGGGATCCTTTTTCTTGCACTTGTTGTTTCAAGGTTCTCACTTCGTCTAAGAGATTGTTGATCTTTGTAACTAAGGGGACATCAGATTAAAATGTTATATAGCAATGATCTGACTGAACATTGGCAGACAAGTCTTCCAATCCTGATCATTTATAGCAACCAGACATCACTTTCTGATTTGGTGAATCTCTTCAGTGACTAACTTTGTTGTGATAGTGTGGCATTCTTCTCTTTTAGTGATTTATTGGCATCATCCAATGCCTCGTCACTCTGTTTTAGTTTATCTTGAAGATCTGTGAAAGAGAAAACAATTCAATTCAATTCATTAGTTTTAATCAAAGACAAAATGACCATGAAAATCAATGCTGCTGAATGAATGTGCTATACCTTTAATCTTCTGCATCGCATTCCTTTCAGTTGTGTCTTTTTGGATTTGCAATGTCAAAACTTCTTTCTTCAGTGCAGCAATATCTTTCTCTGTAAATCAAGCATTTTCATGACAGCTAAGATTGCCATTTCAGTTATTGTTTGAGCTCTGAAAACTAAAGGTTTCACTCACGTATCTGACTGACATCACCGGTCGCAGCAGCCAGCTCTTTGTTTTTTTCATTCAGCAAACGTTTTACGTCATCCAGTGCCTTTTGAAGCTCTGTCAGAAGTCAATGTAAATATAGCAATATTAAGAAATGTTGCACCATTATTTATACCTCTTTTAAAGTATTGAAAAGTATCAATGCCAACCAGCTTTCTGGATCTCAGCCTGTGTAGTCACAGTTTTCAGCATTTCTCTTATCCAGGTAACATCAGACTGGAGAGCAATGATTTTCAGCACTGAGACAAACAAAAATAATAGTAATATTGATTGTTCTGCCAAACATATCTGAACAAATTATGAATTTGGTACATAGACGAACTGATGATTTGAGCTTGTGTAATATTCATAAAGTACATTTTTTTAACTATCGGTCACACTTTATTTTAAGGTCCAATTCTCGCTATTAACAAACCATACTTTTGCCTCAATAAACTCCTAATTTCCTACGTATTAATAGTTAGTAAAGTAGTTGTTAAGTTTAGGTATTGGGTAGGATTAGGGACGTAGAATATGGTCATGCAGAATATGTGCTTTCTAAATACTCACAAACAGCCAATGATAGGCATGATAATAAGCAACTGGTTAATAGTGAGAATTAGTCCCTATACTAAAGTGTTACCAAAATATCTATAGGTATGGGTGTGAACATAACTGCAAATAACATGAGCCTTAGTTCCAAACAAGGACCATAACTCTCCACTCACTTGGTTTTGAAGCCATTTTATCATCTAATTTGCTTATCAAGTTCAGGAGATCCTTCTGCAGATCTGAAACCAAAACAGAATGTGTGTTGAAACCTTGAGGTCAATTTACACCGACGCCGACAGCTGACCGAGTACAGTATGTCACTTCTCAGACAACCAACAAACAATGATTCAACAGGTTAAATCAGGGCTGTCCAAACTCGGTCCTGGAGGGCCGGTGTCCTGCAGAGTTTAGCTCCAACTTGCCTCAACACACCTGACTGGAAGTTTCTATGCCTAGTAAGAGCTTGATTAGCTGGTTCAGGTGTGTTTAATTAGGGTTGGAGCTAAACTCTGCAGGACACCGG